CAGAGGATTTAGATTTGATTAAGTTTATGTAATAAAATTTTATATGTAATTAAAGGTTATCAACTTAAACTACCATCTTAAATATATCAACTAATATACTAACAAACATATAACTAATTGAAAATCTAACAGTTTGCGATGAACTTACTCGTAAGAAACCGTCTTTTAGTTGCATTCTTGTCAAGTTCAATGCATCTGCAGTTTCAACATCAACAATGTTATTCAACTATTACATTTCAACTAATATACTAACAAACAAATAACTAACTGAAACTTTAATTATTACATTTCATAACAAAGTAAACATTAAACATAAAGGAGACAAGAAAATATAACATCTTCAAATTTCCAGATAATCTCTCTGATTTCAGTTTGTTCTTCAAATTCTTGTTGTTCTTCTTTGAATCTTCATACATAACCTTCAAAATGAACATCTCCAACTCTGACTTCCTAATGCTCTCATCTTCATTTCCACCATTTTCCTCACATGTCTTCATTCCATATGAACAGATTACAGGTTTCATCACTCCTCTAAAATGGACATCTCCAAAAAACATTCCTTTATTTTGTTCCTTCTTACATTGGTACGAAACCATACGACCATCACAACCACAAAAATTTTCAAATCAAGATTTTACAAAAGAAGACATAGAAACACATTTGGATGACTTTTTCTTCAAATGCAACATTGAAAGAAAACTAAACAACAACAATATATTTTATGTACCGTAAAGGAGAATGTTGTGTGGTGTTGTTGTCTTCCTTCCTGACGATAAAGGAGAAAATCTTAATTTATAATGAGTTAAGTAATTAAAATAGGGTTAGTATTTTAAAAATGTTACTTGTTTAAAAAGGGTTTTAATTAAATGAAGGCATTTATAATAATAATAGAAAATATTTTATAGTTTATTTAAAAACAAATAATATATATTTTACAAAAATTAAAAATTAAATTAATAATTAATGATAGAAAATAAAATAATATTGAAAAGTGAAATTATATAAAAAATACAGAGGGGTGTATTTTAATTTGAAGTAGTAAGTCAGGGGGTTTGAATAGTAATGGGCCAGGCCTAGAAACACATTTGGTCCATCTGGAAAATGTGTGGACTGGTTGGGGCACTATGGTGCATCAAGGTGTTTGGGATTGTTTGATCCATATCAACAGGTTGCCAAGAGTTGATCCTGGAGCATTGATTCAGAGTATGTTAAACGAAAGAGTGAGATTAAGTGTTGACCAAGGTTCAGCGTAGGCGTACATGTCCAGGATTATGTCAAAGTAATATCATCGCATGGTTAGTGGATGGCCACGAGTCACACATCCAAGGGAGTGTCAAGGGAGTTTTTAAGTTTGCTTCCTTCATATTTTGTTTCATTTCTTGTTTTCTTTCTCTCTCTACACCCTTGCTCTCTCTCATTCTCTCTACAACATTTGCTCGTCGAAAATCGCCCCACTGGCTGAGCCACCCCAAACCACCGCACATTCCCAATTTCCGGTTGAAGATCAACCGAAAAATTCAAACATTCAACCTACCCAAATCTAGAATACCCAAAACCCTCAAGAACCCTAACCTAACCCTAAGAATCCTAAGATGAACCCTAACCCTAAATGAACCCTAACCCCAAAAACCCATAAATCATCAACGATCATGCAACAACAACAATTACAACAATTTTATGCAAGCTAAGTGGTTTATCTCGCCTTGCTGTGAATCTTCTTGTCTTAATCCTCTCTGATTCTTTAATTCTCTCATTTGT